TAAAAATATTGAAAAATTAGGGCCATGATAATAAAGTATTGAAAAATTTGGGTCCTTAATAACAAATGTCAAAAAAATATGGGCAAGAAATTATACACTTATAAAAATATTAGAAAAAAATAAATTATAAGAATATGTCTCTAATAATAAATATTATAAAAAAATAATTTCACAATAATAAATATTGAGAAAATATTAAACCTTAATAATTATTATTAAAAATAAATAATTAGACAATGTAATTAATTATAAACTATTTTTTATAAATATAATATATTATAAAAATTCCGGACCTTAGACAGGTGTCTCTCAGGCAGACCCTGTACGGCTTTGGTCACATGGAACAATAATTTCTCTGTATAATTTAAAAAAAGAAAAATAAAAAACAACGAGGGACACTTATCCCTTGATAAAAGTCGCATGACCTTAATGCCTCACTCTCTGTCCCATTCATTAACATCTATCACGTATTGATTTATATTTAATTAATTTAATATTTATAATTACTATTTTTATTTATTTTTATTGATAAAAATTATTTTTATAGTCAATTTAAAATTTTCACATAACTCTAAATTATTATAAAAAACTTTATATTCAATAAAATTTATTAAATAAATATTATTTAATTGAATGTTTTACTATGTTTTTAAAACTTGAAATTATCATTATTATTAAGAGAAAATAACCTCATTGACCAAAAATGTCTTATAATATACGATTTTAACCAATTTTTTTTGGATTTGCCAAAATGACCAACTAAATCGCAATGCGATCGATAATTCGCAACGCGATCTCCGGTATCGCAAATCAGTTTCCAGATTCGCAACGCGAACTTCGACTATCGCAATGCGAATATGTAAATAATATTACTATTTAAGGTTCAATCCCACATAGTATTGGGAACAAGTGTTGGTAATGCTCAATCCCACATAGTATTGGAAATACTATTGGGAATGGTATTTAAGGCTTGGCTTTCCTACTTCCTTGTTGAGTGATAGAGAACAAGGGGGACTCTCGCGCGCCGCCGTCCGTCTCGTCTCGGTTCTTGGTCGTGGTCGTAGTAATACGTGTCTTCGACACGTCCGCGCGAATACTATCTTTTTAGAGAAAATTCTTAAGAAACGAATTTGGAATAAATCGCAACGCGAACTTCGACTATCGCAATGCGAATATGTAAATCGCAATGCGATAGTCGACTATCGCAATGCGAACTTCGACTATCGCAACGCGAACTTCGAATATCGCATTGCGATTTACATATTCGCATTGTGATAGTCCAAGTTCACATTGCGATAGTCCAAGTTCGCATTGCGATAGTCGAAGTTCGCGTTGCGATAGTCGACTATCACATTGCGATTTACATATTCGCATTGCGATAGTCCAAGTTCGCATTGCGATAGTCGAAGTTCGAGTTGCGAATCTGGAAACTGATTTGCGATACCAGAGATCGCGTTGCGAATTATCGTTCGCATTACGATTTAGATGGTAATTTTGGCAAATCCAAAAAAAGTTGATTAAAATCGTATATTATAAGGCATTTTTAGTCAAAGAAATTATTTTCTCTATTATTAATTGAAAAGAAAATAAAAAAATGTTAGCTGGGCATCACTCCTAGGAATGGTTGTCTGGGACTTAAAAACAAATATGTAGTGCTTTTGAGAACTAAGCATATGATGACATCTGCCTTGTCCTAATTTGAAGTTAGATTTACATATTTAAATCTATAATCCGCATATAAATAATACATATTTCGATAATGGATATTGGAGTGTGTGTCTATATTCATTCTAATAATTTTAACATCTAAATCTATAATATTCAAATTCATAAAAATATATCTAATGTCCAAATTTGTAATTTGAACTATTTTCCCTAATTATATACACTATAAAGGCAAATATAAATATATTTCTAAATATACATTTATTGTCGCCAATTAGTGTTGACAAAGTAATTAAGATTCATGAATTTGAGTTTGTAATACAAAGTCTGAATTATACTACCGTTACTTTTTGTAGGCAATCTGTAATTTTCTATGTAAATCCCAATTGAATCTTAAGTATATCCTAGCCCTGGACTAGAAGAGCCACCCTTAACCTAAATTTTTCTTAATCAATATATATATATATATACACACGCACACACATTTATTGTCAATGTTTTTATGTAGTACTAAATGAGTGAAATAAAATATTATTTTAAAAGTTTGTCAAAGAATGAGTAAAGGCAAGTGATGAAAGGATTAATATATAAAATATGTTTGATATGGATTCGATCTTTAAATAAATAATTTTTTGGCAATATGATACACTTATGAGGATAAAGTACACTAAAGCATTATTATTTTTATTAATCTGGGACGATTATAAGATAGTATTTATCTGAAAAATTCTTAATTATTTAACAATGAATGCTTTAACACCCTGTAAAATTCGTATGAAACTAGGACCTCTAACGATAATGATCATCATTTTGATTACCGAGATTACTTGATTCTTACACCAAAATATTATTTTATTCAATTGTAAAATCATGTTCGTGTTATAGCATAACCTAAGAGATAAAGTAAATTATAAAGATCAAGCACGAACTAAACGATTTTAGTTTTTAAGGAATTGTTGTTATTTCTTAAAGTCTTGGGTTCGAACACCACATATGCAAGGGTGTATGAGCGTTCAATGTCAAATGATTAAGAGTTTATGAATAGATAGTAGACACTATCTTATATCATCATAGACTAATAAAAAAACTATAAACATCAAACAAATCTCATTTTTTTGAACGAATTTCTATATTTGTTTTTTTGTATATATAAATTTTTAAAATTATTAAATAAAATAATATATTTTTTAAAATTATTTATCGAAAGACATCTATTTGTGTCATGTAGGATATACTTATCAACTATACCTTTTGGATATGTAACTAATAAGGATTGTAACCATGAATGATAATGAAAACGCGTTGATCATTATATTTTGTTATATGTTAGAAGGATAATGAGGGCAAAAGTGTTTGAATAATGCAATGGAAAACAAAAATTCTTCACATAGTGCAATAGAACAATTATTTGCTTAAGTAGGGTGATTGCTACAGTAACCACCATAGGTCTCCAGGAGCACACGGCGACCTATGGAGCATTTGGCGACCTATGGAGTTGCAATAGCGAGGGAAAAGAGAAGAGTTGCTGCAACATAGAAGGCTTTGTCGCAAGGAGCACTTGGCGACCTATAGAGCACTTGGCGACCAATGAGATCACTGTAACAAACACCCCAGTTCAAAAAATAATTTGGGTAGAGTCCTATATGGGGAATTTTTTTTTCCAACGCCCTACATGGGCGAGAAAGCCGGATAATGAGAGTATAACTAATGTGAAATATGAATAATTTTATTAAAGTTTTATAATTTGTAAAATATTTTTTTTAAATTACAATTTTAAAAAATATTTCTAAATTTTTAAAATAAATTATGATATTTTATATTTTCAAAGATTTATAAAAATATTTTTTTTACTTTTTTAAATTATTATTAGAAATATTATAAAAATAAAATTTCAGTTATAATTAAAGGACAAAATAAGATATCATCCATTAATTTAATATATCATGTCATCCTTTATTAATAATTAATAATAACTAACAACACAATATTATATTATAATAATATAAAAATTTAATATCAATATTATAACTTTTTAAAATTCAAGTACTAAAAAATAATTTAAAGTATTTTAATGGTTTTTTTAACACACAAATATTATAGTGGAAAAATGCCTTATATAAGATGAAGTAGAAATTATCTTTGAACTAAGGATTTTGCTATAGTGGTTCGAAGTTGTCAAGATTACTTGGTAGAAGTCGTTAGGATTACATGGCGGCTTCTTACCATCTAAAACCATATTTCTCTTCGTCATGCAGTTCTGACGACCTTCCTAAGTCGTCGTAACGAATTTCAGATAGTTCTCCAACAAAGACCCTATTTCACAAAATAATTTTCACTACACCATATATAAACTATTTTTTTCTCGCTCCATTATTCAAACAATTTTACCTATTGATTTGCTGTTGTAGAGTTGTGAAAAAAAATATTTGTTGAAATAAGGTATAACTGAAATTATTTTTTGATCTAGTGTGAATGTTACAGTAAGTCGTCGGGAGGACTTGGCGACCTATGGAGGTTTCGACTAAAAGCCTAATTACCGATATAGGTAATCACTGTTACTTATGGGAAATAAAGGAAACCAATGCTTGAACATTTCGAGGACTTGGCGACCTATGGAGGTTTCGACTAAAATCCTAATTACCGATTTAGGTAATAACTGTTATTTATGAGAAATCTAGGAAACCAATGCTTGAACGTTTGGAGGACTTGGCAACCTATGGAGGTCGCCTAGAGTACCTGGTGACCTACCCTCGAACTGTAGCAAATACCCTAAATGAGCAAATAATTATTGGGTTGCATTATTTGAAGAATTTTTTTATTTCAACTCATTATCTGAAGAATTTTGCCTTTTTTTTCTAGATTGTCTTGTCGATATATTTTATATTTTAACTTAAATTTTAAGAAGATTTTCAGGGAAGACTTTCATGCTGTTGTTCTTTCCCTCGAGAAGCTTCAATATGATGGTAAACAGCTTGCAAAAGGGAGCTCTAATACGATGAACAAAGAATTGTTATAAATCCGACTCTTACAAATTGCATGGACGGGCTTGTACTTCTCCATGAAATGCATCTTAATTAATAGTTTCAAACTTCCAAAACTTGCACGAACCAAGTTATCTTAGTAGTTAAAGGAATTGTTGTTGTTTCTAGAAGTCATGAGTTCGAGCATCAGCGACAGTAAGAGTGATTGAGCGTTTATTGTCAAGATTGAGATTACTTAGAGCAAATATTACTTTGTAATCACCTTAGCTTAATAAAAAAAACTTTCAAAACTTTCCAGAATGACTTTGTTACTGCTTTATGTTTTCGATTTTTACGATATGCTACACTTTTCGCTATATGAGGTTCGAAGAACTTGCTTGATTCACTTTCTGTCAAAATCTGAGATAGCAAGATTCTAAATGACTAATTATTTTTTGTTTGCTAGGTACCTTCTTAAAGCATCGTTGGTTTCTGCACTTCCACCACTTGCCTTGAAACCAAAGTAAGGAAAAATCATTATCTTAATTCACTTTGTCAAAATATGAGGTATCAAGATTCTCAATGACTTTCTAATTGTTACGTGCTTTCTTGATTGGCATAATGCTAAAATTAGTCCCCAACATTTACTAAAATGATCATTTTAGTCCATGTCTTTTGGAGTATTTTGGCCCCCAACCGTTTCATTTTGGGGCAAAAAGCCCCCTCTATAGTCGGAAACCTTTTGTTAACACCCCATTAATGCTCCAAAATAGGAGGTTTTCTATCCTAAAATGAAACGTTTGGTGCCAAAATGCTCCAGAAAAAAGGTATAAGGGTTAAAGTGACTATTCTTTCAATTGTTAGGGTTTTCCCTCTAAAATGAAACGTTAGGGGCCGAAATACTCCAGAAAAACTAATAGGGGCCAAAACGACCATTTCAATAAACCTTGGGTACTAATTTTGACATTATTCCTTCTTGATTTGCAGTTCTAGTGATGTAGGTGCATTTCACCAACTTTTGGTTGATCAACCCAATTTACCAAACGAGGAAGGTACATTCTGAGAAAACTTAGCTAGATTTGTTGTGTGTGTGTGTGTTTTTAGCTTTAGATACCTTCTTGATCAACACAATATGATAAACAAGGAAGACAAAGTTAGCCATTTTTATTTTGCATAAGTTTAGCTTTTGTTACATTGATTTATTAGTGAGTAGTAAATGATTATCAGGTGGAGACTGCTTTTCTTACCTATGAGATGTCCTGGGTTTTCGAGTTAACTTCCTGTAAATGCATTAGTCGAGAATGAATTGTTATCAGGCATTTAACCCTGTGAAGCAAGCATTTTCACAAAAATACTTTTCATTTCGTATTAAAGTAACTTCTCTCAACTGAAATTCGTAAAGGTATGGTTAAAGTTATTAGACCGTGTCCCTACCAACTCAGTTATTTCCTTTGTATATAATGGTTGGTCTACTTTGGAGATATTACAGCAGTTTTCAATAAAAGTAAAAAGTACCGACTCTCGTTCTGCCATTCTTCATTCACCGACGCTGGTTCAAAGATTACGACACTTTAGAAAGACCGGAATCAACAAGAAATAGATCAAAGTGTATTTTCTTGCAAAGAATATGCTTTGAATTTGGTAGGAGCTACACCTTCTGTTTGCATCCCTCGTAGAATTCCTAATCTCCATTGCATTGAGAATCAGAGCCTGGTCAAGCTATCCTTCGTCCTGGTGTAACCGTGCTCATTGAGAGCAGCAATTAGTTCTTTCTATAAATATATAAGATAATGGATATTAATATACTCTATGCTTGAAATAGAAGATACCTTAATACATTCATGTTTTTGAATTGGATAAATTTCTGTTTAGCCTTGTATGGAAGTATATACAGAATGGTGTTACAGTAGCTTCAACTTATAAGATTATATTAGCGAATAGCAACGAATGTGACTCTTAGCAATGACTGTAATTTGTTTGCTATAGGATATTTGACCTTTTCTTTTCCTTTATTGAATTCTTTTACACCATAGTGATATTAATTATTGGCATAATGACAAAAATTGCCCCCAATGTTTTTTCAAATGGTCACTTTGACCCCTATTCTTTTTTTTATAGCATTTTAGCCTATAATGTTTAAATTTTTTTTTGTCAAAATAGCCCATGTTAGATGGAAATTGTTTGTTGACTATAGTCAATGCATGTTGCTTGCATGACATTTTACATATACTTAATTGGTGACGTGGCACATGCCACATCATCACTTTGGGTGATGAGGCACATGACGCACATGACGCATCATCATTTTGGATGATGTGAAAAGATCCGTCAGTAACATGTCTTAATTATTTTCAATTTGTTTGCTAGGAGTCATAACTTGATATTCTCCTTTGTCAATTTCTTTTTAATTTTTCTCTTATTGCAGTTAGATCATATTGTATTTGTGCATAATAGGTTCTAACTTCTGTTTGTCATACACTCCCTTTGCAGTACAGTACAACTTCGGCATCATATTAGCGGAAGAGATATGTTGATTTCTATAAACAAATTTTGCTTCCCTTTTTCTGTTGAATTAGTGCCAAAGACTGAAAATTTTTAGATCAGGAAGTTCTGAAGCATTCCATTGTCATATGAGGCGTGCAAATTGGAAGCTTTCCGATAAAGACGATAATCGTAACCCTTACTGCTTGATCATGGATCATCCTGTCTAGTTATTTTCTACTCGGAAACTATTTAATGCATTAGTTCGAACATCTTCACTTTTGATTGTATATAACTATTTAGCAACTCTTGCAAAAGAATTGCTTCTAAATTTCACCATTTTTTTTTATGTTTGATGTTTTGAGTTTTCTTATATTTTGCTTATCATAGTAGTGCATGCACATGTTTTGCTGTCTTCTCTTTCAATTTGGTCTCCATTTCTGAGAATTTATATAGGTTAACTGTAAATTTTGGTGGTACCTTCTCAGCTTATCTAATTTTATAACAAACTTTACATATTTTAATTGTAAATTTTTTAAACTCTTATAAGAATATAACATATTTAGTTATTATATACTTCAATTTTATGCTTGTTATTTTTATAGTATTGTATTTCTTGCCATAATTTCTATAGTAATACAGCATGTACTTTATTTAATCTTGTAGAAATAATAGAATATAAAAATTGAAGGTAATATTTCGCGATAGGTCATGTGATTTTTCTTTTAGGGTAATCTATGTCAAATACCACTCACCTTTAGGCTCGTGCTCGTTTATGCCAGCAATATTTCAATTTTACCAATTTTAACACTGACGTTTAAGTTTAACTGCAATTATGCCACTCTGCCGTTAATGGCGTAACGACACGATGACATGGCACCTCCGCGTCGTGACGTGGCTCACTGACCAAAACGACGTCGTTTTGGCATGACTGTGTTGGTGCTAAAAACCCTCAAAACGACGTAGTTTTGTTTGAGAAAAATTAGTAAATAATATATATGAAGGAATTTGAACCCGTAACCTTTTGAAATAAAAGTTAATTCTTAACCACTATGCCAATTTAGATTTTTTAATATAATTCTATAAACATAATATACATAACATGAGTCAGTATTCGAAAAGTTATTTTCTAAAAAACCCATGAAATTATTAAAATTCCCAAAAAAAAACCTTAAATTCCAGAAAATCTAAAAAACTCCTAAAATCCTAAAAATCCCAAAATATCATAAAGTTTACATAATAATCTGGAACTTTCAGTAAACTAATATAATTAAACTTAAAAATCATTCTGCAAATTTCCAAAATAAAAGGAGCAGAAATTATACGTCATTTTAAACAATTTCAGTTCATGGACTAAATTGAACATTTTGTAAAACTGGGCAGAAAACAAATTCCAAACAACACATATTACGGGTGAAAGTGCTTGTCAAGTTGTTCTATTATATGGTTTATATCAATTTGATCCCTTTATTATTAAATTCTACTTCATTTCTTATAGAGACAGATTTAAATTGTTCTCCCTATTATTAAATATATCAATTTAATCATTACATACGAAGATTTAATACCTATTTTGACTCTCGCAATGTAATGGAATTTTCATTTGACCCTTTTATCAATTTGCTCCCTGAGCATTCATTATGTTACCACGTTACCCCTTCAACATTTATATTTGGAAAAAATTGATGTGGTCTAATGACATTTCATTTAGGGATGATTATGGGGTGTGGTCTAATATTTTTAGGGTAAATTATGTATTTAGTACCTAAACTATCAATTTTGGTCCGTTTTAGTACCTAAACTTTCAATATTTTTAAAATCATACTCGACGTTTAGTTTTTGTTTCATTTTAATACCCATGTTAAAAATTTGAAAACTTAGATACTAAAACGGATCAAAACTGATAATTTAGGTACTAAACGTGTTAAATTTTTAATGACGAGTATTAAAATGAAACAAAAACTAAATTTTAGGTATGATTTTTAAAAAAAATTAATAGTTTATTTACTAAAACAAACCAAAACTGATAGTTTAAAAGTTACACTGTTTTTTTATTTATATTTAGAGAAAATAACCTCAGTGACAAAAAATGTTTTATAATATACGATTTTAACCAACTTTTTTTGGATTTGCCAAAATGACCAACTAAATCGCAATGCGATCGATAATTCGCAACGCGATCTCCGGTATCGCAAATCAGTTTCCAGATTCGCAACGCGATTCTGACTATCGCATTGCGATCTTCCAAATTCGCGTTGCGATTTTCCTAATTCGCAATGCGAATACGTAAATCGCAATGCGAATACGTAAATCGCAATACGAATACGTAAATTGTAATTCGAATCTGACTATTGCAACGAAATTCTGACTATCGCAACGAGATTCTGACTATCGCAACACGATTATGACTATTGCAATACTGAATTTTAAATTCGCAACTCGATTTTTGAATTCGCAACAGGTTTTAGTTTCGCAACAGAAATGTTTTGGGTATATAACTACGCAGCAGCAGCAACTCATAACCTAAATCCCTAAATCGCAACTCATTCCATCTCCATCTATCACTCTTTCCGGCGACATCCGTTCCTATATCCAATGACATCCTTCCCCATCCGGCAACAGGTTTTAGTTTCGCAGCTCGTTTGTTTAGTAAATTAATTTACAATAATGAAATCATATAATGTTGATCATGTTTGGATAGATTTGTGTTTTGGAGGGTCATGGGAGAATATTCATGGTGTTTTACAATATATGCCTTTACCCATGAATCTTCAACTAAAACTGTCATTAAAAAAGTTAACTTATGAAACTCTAATGTTACGTGTTGCAAATAAATTGAATTTAGAGCCCCTAAGTGGATTTAGGCTATCTTATCAGAGAAATGGTAAAGTTTATTTGTTAACCGACAATGAAGATGTTGAACGATTCATTGCTTATATTAGTGTTTCAAGTGATGATGTTACATTGTATGTTGTTGAACCTTGAAGTAGTGAAGTTGGGTCAGTAGCGGGTAGTAATCAACTAAGTTTTTCAACCCCAGTTTATGGTGCTCAAAATTTAATGGTTCCACCACAATTTCATCACCAAGCAAATATTGTTTCACCACATTTCCAAAACACAATCTCAAAACCCACAACCTTTCCCTAATCCAAATCCCAATCAACTTTCAGCACCAAATTCCGGTTTTCGTATTGACCAGTTAGACGATGATGAGCCAACAGAAAAAATTGTGAGTACTAGTCAGTATTCGAAATTTGATCTCGGTCAATACCCGAACTTTGATCTTGGTCAATACCCGAATTTTGATGATGAAACAGCCGTTGCCGAGGAAGATGTTGTTGATGATAATGAGGAGGAAGTTACGACTGTAAATGAACATGTTGAACATCCATTCTGTAATTCATATAACCCTGAAGAAGAAGAAGAAGAAGAAATCCCCAAAGAAAAGTCCCCGGAGAAAATGCCACGGGAGTATAACTGGAATATGCCAGAATTACTTCAGATATCGGAAGAAGAGTTGGTAAAGATAGCAGTTGATTGTTACACAAAAATTATTCGTATCAAGAAAGATGATTGTTTTGATACAAAGGAAGACTTGAAGATAGCTTTGTATACGAAATGTGTGGAAGATTGCTATCAACTAAAAGTTAACAAATCAAGCAAAGATCGTTTCGAAACAAGGTGTATGATTGACAAAAACTGTACGTGGCGTATGATTGCAAAGAGGATAAAAGATTGCGAAATGTTTCAAGTTAGGACTTTTATTGATAAACATACATGTTCAAGAACCCAAATTTTTCCTCACCATAGACAGACAAACAAAAAGGTGTTGGGTGGTTTTCTGGCTGAGTTGATGTTTTTGAATGGTAGGGTATATCGGGGACATGAAATTATGACTGACATGAATGCTCGGTTCAAGATTAGTATCTCATATTCTCAAGCTTGGAGAGCCAAATGTTATGCCTTGGAATTATTGAGGGGGTCGTCAGAAGCATCGTTTGCCCAACTGCCGGCTTATTGTCACAATTTAAAGCTGAAAAATCCTGGGTCGGTAACTCATATAAAAACATATAGAGATGGACGCTTTGAGTTGCCGTTTATCGCCATTGGTGCTGCGGTTAGTAAATCAATATAATTTTGTTGACTCATTTTGTTAGTTACATGCATTTCACATTTAAATGATTATATTTCTTGTGTATATGATTTTGTAGATTCGTTCGTTTATTACTTGCATGTGCCCAGTTATTATAGTTGACAGAGCACATTTAAAAGGTCGATACCATGAAGTAAACTTATTAGCAGTAGCCATGGATGCTAACAATGGGATACTACCAATAGCTTACGGGGTTGGAAAATCTGAAACCTCTGATTCATGGACATGGTTTATGGGGCATCTTAGGGATTGCATAGGTCCTATTAGCAATCTGACAATCATATCCGATAGGGCAAACTCAATTGACAACACTGTTATAAGGTGTTTCCCAGATACTTTTCATGGACTTTGTGGTGTTCATTTGTATAGAAATCTAAAATCAAGGTCTGCTGGTATAAAAAATCACAAATGGATATACTGGAAATCTGTAAAAGCTTATCGGGAAGTGGATTTTAATAAGCATATAAACTGTTTAAGACGTGTTTTGTCTAAGTGTGCTCAAACACTAGAAGATGTCGGGTTTGAAAGATGGTCAAGAGTACATCAACTTGGAGCAAGATATGGTTTCATGACGTCTAATAGTGCAGAATCAATCAACGCTCTAAGTCGTCATTCCCGTAAATTACCCATTACTATGTTAATGGAGTTTTTTCGAGCCTCTATTCAACAGTGGTACTACAAGAAAAGAAACCATGCATGTATTATTTCTTTAAATTCGTAACTTATCATTTATTTTACTAAGTATTATTTATTTAAATTTACAGGAACATTGGAACATCGTGTTACACCATGGACTGAAAAAAAGATAACGAAACGTGTTGTGAAGTCAACGTCATGGAGAGTTGAACCATGTTCAAACACTTTGTTTGAAGTACTGGATAATAACTTAAATGGGCTTGTCGATCTAAATGCAAAGACGTGTAGTTGTATGAAATGGCAAACATCTGGTTAT